AATAGAACTAATGATAACAATTGGAAATGCATATAAGTATAGAAAACATGCAGAATACAGAATAATTCCTGGTCCTGAATTTATTTACAATTTCCAATTATTCAATACATTTCTCTTTAATAACAATCAACAAAATTTTTTCAATTCTTTTGAAAAAAAAATTGTCATCATCATCATCATTATCATTATCATTGATTCTGATTCTGATTCTTGAATGATGAAAAGGTGTGTATGAGTGTTCAAGTTCAATCAATCTAGAACTTGATTCACACACACACACACACACACACACTTCATTCAAACACATTAACCAAAACCAATCATCAACATCATAACAAGGTCCTTATGTTTGTCTGTTTGTTTTTTTTATTTCTTTTTCTTTCTCATAATAGCCAGATAGATTGATAGTCATTATTGGTTAGGTTATTTAGTTAATGTATAATGGTCAATATCGTGAACAAAAACAAAACAAAACAAAACAGAATTTCAATCAAAATAAAATGCAACAAAACCAACTACTGATGTGAATATCACTGATATACAAACAAACACAAACATATGATTCATATTGGCACTTTATATGTGTCTGTGTTTGGTCAAATGAATTGGTTTTTGTCCAATTTTCATTTTCGTTTGCACTATATCCGATTTCTATTGATGTTTTGTCATATCCGTGTGTGTTTGTATGATCAGCTTAGCGTAAAATCGGATTTTTATGTTTGATCATACAGACACCAAAAAAACATAAATAGAAATCATTCATGGAATTTTCTTTCTTTTTTTTTGTTTGGCACCCAAATCAATGATGATAATGTTGACAATATAATGATTATGTTTGTCCATAATGTTTCAGTATTTTTTTTTCATATGCACGTTATTTATGAATTTTTCATCATCTTTTCGGGCTTATTTTTGTTGTTGTTCCATTAAGCCATCGCCATATAGGTTATATATTAGTTATCAATTGAAAATTTTTAAAAATTTTTCACACTGGTACAATAAGGATGACAAGTGCAACACAAAAATATACTTTTTTGAAATCTCAGGTAAATCAAATTTTCATCTACAATAATAATGACAAAATTTTTCTTCAATGTGTGTGTGTGTGTGTGCAACATTATTAGCAACAAAACAACATATAATTCTGTATTGGTAAATTGAAAATTTTTTTCTCTTTCTCTTTTCTCACTTTTTTTGCTTTCTTTTTTTTTACTAACCTAAAAACAAGAAAGTAAGTGAAAGCTGTGGAGAAAAAAAAACTGAAAAATTTTGTTACAAGTAAAGTGCCATTTTTTTTTTTTTTTTTTTTTTTGGTTTCAATTTATGACAAAAAAGTGTATATTATCCACTTTACATCAAAGATGAAGAAAGCAAAAAAAAAAAAGAAACATCAGATTGTAACGTAAAAAAAACATGAAACATCAATGAAAGCAAATGTGTGAACGAGATAGAAAAGTGTTAATGTAAAAGAACAACCAATAACCGAACTGAACATAATGTTTTTTCTACCATCACCATCATCATCATCATACGGAATCTTTTCCCATTCAGACGACAATGATTCCTGAATTCTGAAACGATGGCTACAAAAAGAGAGAGTGAGAGGTAACACATCAACAACAACAGTAATGATGATGATTATGATGAAACATACATACATACGATTCATTCATTTTATTTTGGATTGAAAAAAAATGAAAATTCCATTTTCATTTTCTTTTTCAACTTTCTCACAACGACAATGATGATGATGATGATGATGATGATCATCATCATCATCAATGTGTTACCATATAATTGTTATTAAGAATATGGAAAAGAATGGAAAAAAATGAAATATTTAGGATTTTCAAGATGATGAGTTATAAATGGGTTATATTCTTTCAAGAGAGAGAGAGAGAGAGAGAGAGAGAGAGAGAAGAGAAAGAGAAGGAAAGTGTTAAAACATTTTATCCATAATAAATTTTTATTGCATTCAAACTTTTTATTATATGGGAATAAAACGAAAAAAAAAATCGAAAATAACTTGATGGAATAATCATAAAACAAAAACGTAGGAAAAAATGAGAATAAAATGAATTTTTTTCTAAATGAATTCTGATCATCTCCAATGTGATTATGGGAGAAAAAAATTGTCACACATATGAATGATATTGTCCAGTTGTCCAGTGGTCAATATAAAGTTGAATAATAAAAATTGAATGAAGAGCGAGAGAGAGAGAGTGAGAGAGTGAAAAAAAAAATCATTTCATTAAACCATAATTATATATATTGGCCCCATGTTGATATTGATGATGATGGAAATAATTTTGACATTTTGATACAAAATATTCGATTATAAATGCCAATATAAATATATCATGGTGTATTGATCAATGATTGTGGCAATCACCATTATATAGATTCTAAGATTCTATTCTTCAGGCTTTTCTTTTACTGGATTCTCAAATTTTTTTTTTCTTAAATGATTCAATTCAAAGAATATTATTTATCGATCAATTTTATTTCATATTTCCACCAATTCGATATACACACACGTATTATATATGTTAATATTAATTAACTGTAAAAGATTTTTTTTTTATTTTCCGCCAATTTATCGATATTTTGACAACATTTTTTTTTGATGATAATTTTCACATTTTCATTTTATTATTACACATGAATAATAATAATAAAAATAGATCGATTGAATTAGGACTACAACAACAGCAACAACGACAACAACAACGACGATGAAATAAAAAAAATCTGAGATTCAGCAAATAGAAAATCAGCAAAAAAAAAAATATTGATTGAATCCTTATTCATTTGAATCAAATCCATCGATTTTTTTTTCGTCCATCCATAGATAATGAATGCAATGTGATACAAAACATCCACCCACCCATCCACACACACATGAATATTAGAACAAAAAACCGTGACACAGCATGTGTCCTGTATTCTGGTATCCATCATCATCATCATCATCATTGGCACACGAACTGGCCATGTAACCAAGAATTTTTAATTCTTTCTACGAATGAAAAAAAAATTTCTCATATTGGACAGAGTATATTTATTGTACACAATTTTTTTTTTTTTGGTCATCAAAAAGAGAAAAAAATTGGCATTTTCAACTACCACAAATCGCACACACACATACACACAGTAATCGGCCAATTGGTTCCAAAAAGAAAAGTCTAGCCGTAAAAGATAAACCAACACAAAAAAAATGTCAAATAGTCAATGAAACAAAAACGACGACTACGACTACGACAAAAGATTTATCGTAATTTAATCCAAGAAAACGTACAATATGATATGAAAGCTTTGGTAAAGAAATATAGAATGACCACAAACAAACAGAGAGGGTGGAGAGGGGAGTGTGGAGAAAAATCTGTGACATAAATCCACTGGGATTCCAAAATCATTAAATAAAGACTACAACCAGAAAAAAATACTGGAAAAATTTCCAAAACAAATTTGAAGGATCATCCAAATATAAAAAATCATTATCAAAACAAAAACAAAAACATTTCATTCGTATTACACAACAATGTATATAGACATTAATCATATCATCATTGTGAACATTGAATGAATATAACCAGATTTTATTAATACATTTGGTCTGCCAATTTCCAGAACAAAAAAAAACCAGATCCAAATAAAATAAAAGTTAGAAATATTACCATCATCATCAATGTTGGGTACCAGAACTAGAATTTCTGGTTTTCCACTGATGTTTGCATACAGAAAAAACACACACAAACACACGAACATGGAGACAAAAAAAAACAATTTCTGTTTTTTTTTATTCGGGTACATGGAACACAGAAAAAAAATATCCATTCACTTGGGATTTTTTTTGCACCAATTTTACATATTTTTCCATGTACCATAATCGAAATATGTATTCATGGAATGTAAAATGGGAAATAAATCTTTGATCACTGTGTTTTCATACACCCACATACACACACACATATAGTGGTAAAGAAAAATTCAAAATTCATTTGATTGGTCGGTGAAAATCGAAATTTTTTTCGCTGTTTTTGAATACATTCCACAAATATCATTATAACAACATTCACATTCTTTTTATCACGCACTCACGCACTCACGCACCCACACACACATCAGAATTGAATATTTAATTAGTTAATTAAAATGAAGAAGATTTGTTCATATGGTTCATAAACAACAGATCATGATGATGATGATGAAAAAAAATTGGAAATCAGAAATGGTGTAAAGAAATGAAATGTGAATGATATTGTTGTAATTGGAATTGAATATATCCCGAATGAGTTGAGAGCGGCAGAGAGATTTGATGATGTTTTTTTTTGTTGCGGTTTCAAATTTTTTTTTTTAAACAAAGCAAAAAAAAATCAATCAAATCGAACGAACGAACAAATGAAAATGTCAATCATTGACAAAACATTTTTGTCAACATATAACAATCAACATGATGACAATGTAATTTACATGTTTTTTTTTTGCTTGCATATAAAATCTTGATTCAAACGGCTAGCTTGATGATGGTTTGTTTTTATGGTGGTATAAGAAAAGGAAATAAATATGCAAATTTTTTCTCTTACTTTCTCTCTCTATTACTCTTGTCGCCGATAAGCCGATTGGGAAACTTTTTTCTTACGAAACGAAAAACCAAAAAAAAAAAAAAAAAAAATTCAAATGAAAATAAAGTTCATGTTCACCTTGGTGGAAATTATCGCATATAGTGAATTCGTATTATATATTATTCTAATACCGAAAAAAGGAAAATTTGCATTTTTTCTCTCTTTTGCCTTTGATGAATTTCATTTTGTATATATGTCAATTTCATTGTGATCATGATCGATTCTAGTTGGGATTTTCTTTCGTTTTTTTCCTATTCTTTCACACACACACACAAAAATTTGAAATTGAAATTCATTTTGATTCAACTTTTTTCTCTTCTTTCTTTTCTTTTTTTTTCGTAACAGTTTTTATTCATCACACCAACCAAATCAATCAAATGAATGAAAATCAAAAAAAAAATTGTACGTAAATTGAAAAGAATTCAGTAAAGAAAAAAAAAGGGTTGGCCATATTTGGCCATTTATACCCAATATAGATATATATATTATTCTTTATTATTGAATAATTTACAATGAAATTGAAATTAATTTTACCGATTCGGTTAACAACACAAATGATTCTAAGACATTGGCTACTATTACGACATTTATTCACATTATTATTGGCCATTACAATTGGTCTATTATTTTTAAGCCTTTATTTTATTAATATTTATGGCATCAATCCAAATGGTTTATCGTCATCAACGTCGATACGGACAGAATCCGATCATCATTCTATTTTGGCTTTTATTGACAATTCTGTTGAACAACAGCAGCAGCAGCAGCAACGACAGCAACAAGAACAAGAAGATGATCCATGGTGGCAATGGTTTTGTCCAAAACTCAGCGACAATGATCAACAACAACAACAACAACAGCCATTATTACAGCAAACAAATCAATCCATATATTTTGCTACTGATGATGATGATGATGATGGTGGTGGTGGTGGTGATAATAATAATAATGAAATTACAATCGATTCTCGTTATACAATTATGGCCAAACAAATGGATGCAATGATGGCAATACGTCAAAAGAAACGTTTTCGTTTCATACATAAACGTCTGGATTCAATGTTGAACAAGGTGAATGAAACATTTTGTTTATCATTGTAATTTAATTGAAAATTTGATTTTTACACATTTTTCATTCAGATTAAAAAGGCAACAATTGTGGAATGTCCACAACAACAACAACAACAGGGACGAATATATTTACCATCATCTTTATATCGTTTGATGAATAATAATAATGAAATGTTTCATTTGTGGAACAATCTAAATATAACCCTTATGAATATGAATCAATGTGATATCATTGTGATTGATGATACAATTGATTATCATCAATTAATAAAAACAACAACAACGACAATCAATAATGATCAAACAATGATGATGACAAACACCCATTTAAATAGTCGACAATTATATCGCCAAAATATTGAACAATTAACCCTTTTAATTAAAATGCCAGATATTCGATGTAATTTATTTGATTTGGTTAGAAAATATCCAGCATTACGGCAACAGCCCTTATCGCCGCTTTGTTTTACGTTGCCACAAAATTTACAAAAATTTCTTGATGTTTCCGATGCCTTAGGTTATTCAACAAATTGGACATTAGAATATGGCCATTATCATAATAATAATCAACTATCATCAATAAGTGAACCATTACAGATATTTTCACAAACAGATCGATCACGATTAATACAGATCAATCGTTTAGCGTTACGACAACAATCACAATCATCATCGTTACATACGATGATGATATCGACACCATTATTAGGTCCAATAATAATACGACAACATTTTATTCAACAAGTAGTCCATTATCATAGCCAACCGATTAAATTACGAATATTTGTATTGATCACATCATTGAATCCATTACGTGTTTTTCAATATCAATATGGATTAATATTACCATATAAACAGAATAATAATAAATCACCATCATCAAATAATAATAATAATGATGATGATGATGATCCATTGGATAGTTTGGAAAATTTTTGGAATCATCTACAACAATCATCGTCGAATAATGATATGAAAATGGCACGTCAATCAGTACATCGTGTTATATTATATTCATTGATTCTAATGGAAGTTAATGATCGTTTATTGAATTTACAATCATCACCAGATGCCATCTATCCATCGGCAATACAATCATTTCAATGTTTAATATTTGATATTGTTATTCGACATACGGAAAACTATCAGGCATTCATTGTTAATCTTTTATCAATCGATCAACTTGAACAACTCGAACTTGGACAACATGAAGATAAATTATCGACAAAATTATTGAATCAATTTCAATTGGATACATATCGATTGTTGGCCAAATCAACACAAAATTTGAATGATAAAAATTTTGATAAATTTTCAATTAAACTTCGTGAATTGATTGATGGCGATCATTTTGGCCTTCTTGGCATTAATTGTCATATTTCACATAATGTTTGCCTTAGCCAACAGGATTTAGAATATTTGATTAATAGCTGGAATCAAATGGATCAAATGAGGGACGTAAATTTTGAATCAATTTATCCATATCGATGGCAGAATATGACTGAATATTCAAATATACGAGCTTTATTTGAACAAATTTTGCTCCAAATTGATACTACTACTACTACTAGTAACAGTGAAAATAACAATAATAATGATAATCAGATATCAAGTCAAACCAAGGAAATGGTAATGGATAAATACAAACATTTTGAATATCAAACAGAAAGATTACATCCAGTTGTTGAAGCAATGTTTGCTCAAATAGTGGAAGATAATAAATCTTCATTGCCTTTGAATGATGTACAACATTTTGATGTACATCATGATTTAACAAATTTAAATTGGACAACAATGGCAACAATAACCGGTGATAATCATAATATTGATATTGATGATGAAATCATTAACCATAAAATAGAATGTACAAATGATCCATATAGTTTATCACAATTAAAACATTTAAAAATTCTTTATCCAAATGATCTGGAACTTCGACCAAAATTTCAACCATATCAAAAACATTATAACCTAAATCAACCAATATCATATGATAATATGTTGATACAAATTGATACAGAAGTAGCACATTGTGATACATGGATACGATTAGATAATCATTATTATAATATACAATCAGGACGTTTGAATTTTTCACTTGGTATTGGTGAAAATTCAATAAGATTAACATTAGTGAATAGAAAATTATCCGATAGTAATATGGTGCTTGCTATTTATACGATTGTGATACATAGACAAACACTTTTAGAATCATCATCATCATCATCAACACAATTTATTGATTATGAACAACAACAACAACAGCAACAACAACAACAAAAACAACAACAACAACAATATCAAATATGTAATCTTATACAAGACTGTGATCTACGTGTATATCCAAATGAATCATGTGGTTGGCAATCAACAAATCAAACTTGTACAAAGACAACAATATTGAATAATAATAATGATTGTTTGAAACAAATTGATCAAATAGAAACGAAAAAAATCTGTCAACATGGAGCTGAAAATGGTCGATGGCTATTACCATGTATTAATTGTACGAAGCTAAATGGCTGTATTTGGTCAGAATTACAATGGTTACCATATCGTTGTCGTTATCGAATACCAGTGGAACCAGAACATTTACGAAAATGTTTATCCAATAAAAATGTAATTGGTTATTCAAATGAAACAAAAATTTTTTAATTTAATTTCGCTAAATTCTAGATTCTTTTGATCGGTGATTCAACCAATCGTGGAATAATGCATTATATAATGGAACGTTTAAATCGAACATTAACCGAAGCGGATAAAACACATGATCATAAATCCTATCGTTTAATCGATCTGGATACAACCATTAATTTTGCTTATTATCCAAAATTTTGGTTACCACCTAATCAACGGCCATCATTTGCTCAAGTTTTTCATGATTCATTACATCAAACGTAAGTTGTTTTTGTTTGTTTGCTTGTTTGTTTGGACACAATATTCACATGATTTCAATTCCAGATTGCTTGATGATAAAATGATTGAACCGATTAAAAATATTATCATCATTGGCGGTGTACAATGGATATCACGACAACATCTTCATATAGCTAGACAAGAATTACGATCGTAAGCAGAAATTGTTTGTTGTTGAAAATAACAAAAAAATTAATCCACCTTTCATCATCATGTGATTTAGGCTTGGATTTACCAACGATTCTGATGATCAAATTCGTTTGGTTGTGAAAACACTTGGATCAGGATTTCATCAATCGGTTATTGGTGTACATTATATGCCTGTGGTAAATATATTATTTGTTTATTACATGCTTGTGTTTGTTTTTCTTTTCACAAAAATCATATGATGATCAAAATTATAGAGTGAACAAATTAAATTGGCCTTACAAAATCAATTGCTCATTGATGAAGCATTACGATTGAATTTTGAAGTGATCGATACATTCAATAAAACCATTGCCATGTATAAGGATTTCTATCCCGGTAAATGTGCTTGCCATTTTCATCGGGTAAGTTTCTATGGTGTTTTTTTTTTTTTTGAATATTCTATAATTTTTAAACATCAAATCGTTCTGTATTCTATTTTTGTATATATATAAATAGATTATAAAGGAAAAAACACCAGATGGAACTAGTATTCGTTATCATGTGGAAGGCAAATTGAATCGTTTATATTCGGAAATTTTGTTGTCCCGAATTTGCGATACAGAATCTTAATCAAATTGATGATTGATGATACAAAAAAAAATTTTTTTTTTCTTTGTTTGATTGTTATCAATAATTTTCAATGAATAAAAAATTTAATTCTTAATTCTACCTGTTCAAAAGATACGTAACATAATTGTGCTGTTAATTGTGGTGTTTTGGCCAGCCAGCTGGCAATCGATTTCAAATGATAAAATAAATAAAAATTCATTTATTCGGTTAAGATTCACACATATTACAGGTGTATGTGTGTGTGTGTGTTTGTGTGCTCAACAATCAAATAAAATGCGGTTTCAATTTATTAACGTTGAATAATCGAAACAGTTTTTTTTTTGTTTCTCTTCATTCATCCATCATAAACATCTTTGGCTAAACGAACACAATTCTTTCAGTGATTAAAACAAAACAAAACAAAACAAAAATGTCATCATCATTTGAATTGGATTTAGATACGATTCGTATGGAATCTATTCATGCAATCAAAGAATTGAAAAAACCTAAACTTGTTCTAATATTAAGTGGAAAACGAAAATCTGGCAAAGATTATGTTGAACAATTATTAATTGAACGATATCCCGATCAGATACTTTCATTTCGTATATCGGCACCAATCAAATGTGAATATGCACGTCGTAATGGTTTGAATTATGAAGAATTATTAACATCATCACAATATAAAGAATCGTTTCGTAAACAAATGGTTGAATGGAGTGAATCTGTACGACAATATGATCCACATCATTTTTTACGTATTGCAATATTGGATTCATATCGACAAAATAATGGCCATAAAAAACCGATTTGGATATTGAATGATGCACGTCGTCCAACAGATTTACGTTATTTTCAATCAGATGAAAATGAAATTAATTTAGACAACAATTGTAAACAATTAACCATTCGTATACGATCCGATGATTCAATACGAATAGATCGTGGATGGAAATTCACCATTGGTATTGATGATCAAACAACTGAATGTGGTCTTGATGAATATCAACAATGGAATTATCGTATCGATAATAATGGTGGCAAAGATGAATTATTGAAAGAATTGTCACCAATTTTATCAGAAATTGATATGGTCATATCATCATAAAACTTATGATAATTTTAAATTTTTATTTACAACATTCCATGAATATAGAAAATTTTATTTTATTAATTTTTTTAAATTTCAAAATAAAACAAAATTCTTAAATCGAATCGAATTCTGAATGATTCTAACGCAACAAAAAAAATGGTAGAGTCACTGTATCATACTAGTAGTAGTAGTAGTAGTAGTGGTTGTTGTTTAACCAGAATTTTTTTTTCTTTCCTCTCCAATGTGGTGGTATGTATACATAATGGGTGCGGTATTTTTTTTTTTTTTTTTTGTATATTTTGGTAGTGGCCTCATCCATCGGTGTACACATGTATCAATACAGAATTATATATCAAAAATGATGGCGGTAGTAGTGGTTGTTGTTGTTGTTGTTGTTTGGTTCTACAATTACGTGAGCTCACAAAAACAAAAACAAAAAAATATGTGAAAACACAAAAAATTTATTTACGTTTTTTTATAAAATCACCCCAAAAAGAAACAAAAATTCATTCGAATGATAATCCATGATGATTTTAGAACGAATCAAATTCTAAAAATGATTTTCTCTGTTTGTTTGTTTTCTGATTCATATATAAATCTTAATAATTACAAAACAAAAACATTAATCAACAAATTATACTAATTTAGTGATTTTTTTTTCTCTTTTCATATATAACTTTGATGATTCGTTATTCACTATTATCGATTTTCATCAGCCATCGTATTGATTCGTCATTTTCGTGAAATAATTAGAATTGGATTATCTTAATTTTTTTTTCAAACATCAAAAAAATAAGGTAAGTTGTCAACATGGCAAACATATAATGGAGAACGGAGAACAAAAATCGATTCTCTTTTTCGATTCTGAATAATTATGGTCATGTTTCTTTTTCGTTGGCTGGTTTTTTTTCCACTTCATGGTTGTTAGTTTTCATAACCACCATCAAGAAAAAAAAACAGCCACTAATTTATGCAATAATAGTCACATTTATTTTTTTCGCTTCCTATATTTCAATTTTTACAACACATACATATTCTTGTTATATTTGATTTCTCATCATCATCATCATCATCATGATCATGATCATGGTGCTATTAAATTCTTTAACTGCTAGTATTTCATATATATTCACAAACACACCCTATGTTTTCCTGTTAAAAATTTTATAATGCCACACACACACAGGCCTGCATACGACGACATATCAATCAATCATTTTCATATGATGATAATGTTGATGTTATTTGCTATTAAACAGGTCGGCATTTAACAAACAAACAAACAAACAAAAACGATGATTATGATTTATAATTACAGCCTATTCCCAAACTGTGGTCCATGAGCCAATCAAAAAAAATATAAAAAAAAATACAGATCCTCAGCCAAAAAAGTTCGAGAAACGCTGACATGTAAGAAAATTTCTATAGTGAAAAAAATAGAAGTAGTAAGTAGTAGTAGTAGTAGTATTTGATTTTAAAAGCCAAAAAAAAAATGTGGATTAGTTTTAAGAAAAAAAAAATATCACTACTAAACATCCATAATTGAATCCCAAATACGGTACACAGACATATACATACACACACACATGATGATGATCTATATATATTATAACCAGGCGATAGAAAAAGAGAGGACTTGTGTCTGCATGGCATCTCTTTGGTTATAAAATAATAAAAGTTTAATCGTTTGAATAATAAATTGTTCATTCAATGTTTGTATATTTCGTTTATATCTATAGATTTAATTTTATTGAAAATTTAAAACAACAACGACAACAACAACAAAAACAACGTGTAACGAATCCCGGTTTTGGCTTGTCGTAAAAAATATTTTAAATATTGTCAATTGAAAATTTTATCTCACGCCGGTAAAATATATTGAAATTGTAATAATCAATTAATAAAATTCAAACATAAAAACAATAATGGTTGTCAAAGTGTTCATTTCGGGTATTTCGGCTTCAAAAGAAGTAAGTTTTTTTTATAACTAAATGATGTCGTTGAACATTTGTTAATTTTTTTTTTGTTGTTGCAATCTAGGTTAAAAACATCAACTTCGTGCACAATTTCTATTGGATTCATATAAAATAAAATATGAATTGATCGATATTGCCGATCCATTGTTGGAATCACAAAAAGAGATTATGTTACAGGCAGCTAAACGGCGTAATGAATCAATGCCACCACAGCCTCCACAATTTTTCAATGATGATCAATATTGTGGTGTATGTGTAAAACATTTTGAATTTTTTTATCAATATTTTTTTTCAACCATTATTGTTTCTATCATTAGGATTATGAAGATCTGGAAAATGCCAACGATAATGATCAATTATTTCAATTCTTAAAACTTGAAGAAGATATTACCATAGAAAATGGTGATGGTGATGAAAATGATTTGTTTAATCCAACCGGTGAAACGGCGACCAAAGGTGATGAAAATGATAATGATAAACCAAAAGAAAATGGACATGATGATAATAATAATAATAATAATAATGATGATGAAAATGAAGATGATGATGAAGATGTTAAAATGGAAGTTCGTGAACAAGTTACTATTAATGGTGTTGTTTATGAAATACCACCTGATCGTAAGATTAATATCGGTGGTCGTATAATTGATGTAGATGAATTAATGAAAGAAGAAGGTGATGAAATTGAATTAGATGATGTTGATGATAATTTAAAAGATGGTATTTTAAACAAAACTGATGAAAATGATGAAAAAGATGATGATGATGATGAAGACGAAGAGGATGAAGATGAAAAAGAGTGATTATTGATTTGAGAATCTTGACTATTTCAATTTTATTTTAACTTGATTTTTTTTTCTCATTTGATCTAATTATCATCATTTTTTTTGATTGTTTGTTTGCATGTTAAAATGTGTTTAACTAAATTTAATTTTTTTTTCTCTTTTTCTCCATACAAAAAAAACAGCTTGAAAACAATCAAACATTTACGCTACAGGCTTATTATTATATTACATGAACGGCTTCTCTCTCTCTCTCTCTCTGTGTATGATTCTTTAAAATGGATTTGATTCATTCAAATCGAAACGATCAAACAAACAAACAAACAACAATTGCTTTCAAATCAAATTTATGTGGTGGCGAAAATGAAAATTGTTTTTTTTTGTTTCCTTTCAAATGGAATGGCTTCACTTTTTTTTCCCCATTTTTCGCTTTGCTCTCTCTCTCTCCTATAATTATCCTATACTTTATTTTTCTTGCGAAAAAATGAGCGATTCGTCATTTTTTTTTCATGGAAATTGGAAATTTGTCAAAAATCAAACAATCGAATTGTCTCAGTCATTCATCATGTGCACGTGTACCGACGCCCACCAAACAACGAAATCAACAAACGCATTACATTGCATTACATTACATTATTATTATATCGAATTGAATAATAGAAATTCTGTTTTCTTTTTGCCCATAAAAAAAATTTATGAAGAATTTATCATTCTAATTCATTATATATTCTGCTTTATTATTGATTATTGATCATCCATAAATAACCGATTGATTGATTCAATATCGCTTAATACTAACATTAACAACAACAACAACAACAACAATAATGAACAACAACAAACATTAATCTGATATATATATATAGGAAATCTTGTTCATTTCTAAAAATTTCATTTCAAATTTTTTTTTTTTTTTTTGGTTTTTGCAATGAATTCTTTATGGATTCATGTTTGTTAGTATTCATATTAAACAAAAAAAAGAGTTAGCAAATTTTTCTCATTTCATAGATTCATTCAATCAATTAGATGAGTGAATGAAATTTGATTTTTTTTTTTGTTTTGTTTTGTTTTTAGTGAGAAAAAAAAGTTTCAATTCAACGAAAAAAAACCAATCAATTTTCACATCAAAACACACAAATACAGTGACAAATCAATATCATTCATTTCATCATTCATTCATTCATTCATCAAATGCACTTTGATTCTACAAACAAACGAAAACAAAAAAAATTCTGTTGTTACTTATTCTGTTGATACAAAAAAAACAAACAAAATTCAAATGTTGTAATTGGTATTTTTGTTTTTTGTTTTTATTTGTCACTTCAATCAAATTTATTTTCTCATCAATATATATATATATCTAATATATGTATGAATAAACTCAGACAATTTTTCTTTTCATTTCAATCCAAAAACAAACAAACAAACAAAAAAATCAATGAAACAACAACATAGTGTGTTTTCATTATTTCTTTGGTCCAATCATATTCTCTGGCCGTACCCATTGATCAAATTGTTCAGCGGTCAATAATCCTAATTTGATTGCCGTATCTTTAAGATTGCCACCTTCTTTATGTGCTGTTTTAGCTATTTTAGCAGCATTATCATAACCAATATGTGGATTCAATGCAGTGACCAACATTAAACTATCACGCATTAATTGTTCAATACGTTTTTCATTTGCCTGTATACCATCGACACAATTTTTCGTAAACGAAACAGATGCATCGGCCAATAATCGAGATGAACGCAATACATTAGCGGCCATCATTGGTTTGAATACGTTCAATTCAAAATGACCTTGTGTACCGCCAATAGTTGTGGCTACATGATTACCTTGAACCTGAGCACAAACCATTGTCATTGCTTCACATTGTGTTGGATTTACTTTGCCTGGCATGATAGACGAACCGGGTTCCAATTCGGGCAATAATAATTCACCAATACCAGATCGTGGTCCACTGGCCAACAAACGAATATCATTGGCAATCTTGTTCAAACTACAAGCCAAAACATTTAAAGAACCAGATAATTCAACCATAGCATCATGAGATGCTAATGCTTCAAATTTATTCGGTGCTGGACGGAAATTCAATCCAGTAATTTCCGAAATTTGTTTGCAAACATCACGATCCCAGCTTTCACGAGTATTTAATCCAGTTCCTACGGCGGTACCACCGATAGCCAAATAATAGACACGTGGTTCTAAAGCAGCTTTAACACGATCGATACCAAATTGAACTTGAGCAGAATAACCAGAAAATTCTTGGCCAAGTGTTAATGGTGTAGCATCTTGCAAATGAGTTCGTCCAATTTTAATAATTTTATCAAACTCATTTTGTTTGGCCATCAATGATTGATGTAATTTTTCCAAAGCAGGCAACAATACCTTATTGACTTCAACAGCGGCAGCAATATGCATAGCGGTTGGATAAGTATCGTTTGATGATTGTGATTTATTAACATGATCATTTGGATGTACCAAACGTTCGGCACCACGTTTACCACCTGAAAAAAAAAAAATTTATTAATATTAACAGCTATGTTTTGATGAATACAAACTGACCAAGAATTTCAGAAGCACGATTAGCAATAACTTCATTGCAATTCATATTTGATTGAGTACCGCTACCAGTTTGCCAGATAACTAATGGAAATTCATCTTTGATTGACAATCGTTCATCAATAACATCATCACAAGCCTGTTGAATGGCTTTAGCTAGTTTTTCATCCAATTCACCATATGATTGATTTACACGTGCACAAGCTTTCTTAAGTACAGCAAATGCATGAATAATTTGTTTGGGCATCTGTTCTACATCCCAATTTTGTCCGGCACCAATACGAAAATTATCACGAGAACGTTGTGTTTGTGCACCATACAAACGATCAGCGGGCACACGAACAATTCCCATAGTGTCTTTTTCTTCACGATAATCGGACATTTTTCTTGTTTGTAATTGATCAATTTGTTCCAAACGTTTTTCTCGATGAAACGCGAATATTTTGTTGTATGCAGAATATTTTCTAATCTGATGTTGTAATTGTTGTCGTTCAATTTTATTGGCCGTACGAACAGCAATCAGCGAAAGTGAATGACAAATCGAACTTGAACGATGAAACATTTTTTGGTGATTATTAACGATTAGAAAATGAACAAAATCTTTCTTCAAGAAAGAAAGTGAATGCCAGTCAAAGAAAGAAAGAAAGAAAAAAAACACCGGTAGCGGCAAAGCGTCAATAATACAGTATATATCTTATCCAAATTGCTATCAAGAACAAATAAAAAAAAAAAAATGTATTTCAATGTCAAATTGATTCGATAATAATTTTTTTTAATTGATTAAACTTGTTTGTGTATGGAGACAAACAAGTTTTTTTTTGCGTGATAGGATATATACCTTTTATTTCGTAATGAGAATGAGAAAAAAATGGTTACACACACAACAAATAATGATGGTAAAGATTTATATTGACAATGAAAACAATGGCTAAAATTGTAATTGAAACAATGTGAAGAGATTAATAATTTAAGTTTAAGGAGAAAAAATTGACTTTTTTTTCGTCACAAAAAAACAAAATAATAATAAACAGAGTTGATGATGTCATTTCAATGTGATCGAATGTATTGGGCATATACTGGGTGTCTGTAAAGTCATTGGCTGATTTACAATTAGGATGTAATTGAAATCAGCCACTGACTTTACAGACAGACACCATGTATAAAACACACACAAAGACATTGCTGGTCGAAATGGTCGTTTAGGTTGAAATGGTTGTATATGTGAGCGCGCTTAATTTGGATATATATTGAAAAAATTGAAAATAAAATCCATGGAAATTTTATTTCAATTGACCACATCATTCGATACAAATGTACAAGCTGTAAAATGGAACATACAACAAAGAATCTATCCACAAACAAAGAAAAAAAAATCCATTATTCCATGGAAATTTCTTGCCCCCCACCAAAAAAAAAAAAATCCAAGCACAGCCGAATCACGTTACGAAATGTTTAGGAAAGTTTCTATCAACAAAATTAAGCAAAGTTGCGCTTGTGTCCACCACCACCACCACCACTAATAACAACCAACCACGGCGAAGGCTACATACACGCTCAACATACAGCAAAGTATTCCATTCAAAAAATTGGTTGAGCAAAATGAGCCGAATAGATCTGTCTGTGTGTGTGTGTATGTGTTGTTGTCAATCCAGATTGTGTAAAAAAAAAAATTTTTTGGCACCAACAAAAAAAAGCGCCACAATGAAACATTGACCCAAACACAATGACAACAACAACAACAACAACAAAATAAAAATTCAATTGGTCAATTTTGTTTGTTTATATAAACAACAAAAATGAAAATGTCATTGATTCATATTTGATATTTGATGGGTTTTTGTTTTTCCCTTTTGTCTGGTTTTTTTTGGCACAAATTAATTCATTGTTTGTCTGATTTTGTTGTGTTTGTGTGTGTGTGTGTGTGTGTCCTGCAAATGCACATATCCAGCAACGTTTTTTCTTTTGTTTTGTTTTTGTTATCCACACAAAAAAAAACCAGAAAACAAAATGAGAACAGCGACAACAACAACAACAACAACGATTGTGTTTAATACCAATACGAACAACATAAAACAATTATTATTATGATGATGATGACAAAATGTTGGATTTTTGATGAATCCAAATCAATCCAATCCATTCGCATCGATTCAATCAATCACAATCGAACCAACACAATTTTGTGGTGAGTATAATGGATGAAAAAAAATCAATCAATCAATCAATGACGTTAATGACATTTTTTTTTGTTTGTTTCTTCCTTGCATTTCATATCATATATATGAATTTCATTTGAAAAACAAAATTTTTGTCATATAAAATAACCATTTGCTCCAATTTTTTTTTCTGTCATAATGTGTGTGTTTAGTGTGTGTGTGTGTGTTCAGTGTTCAATCAATCAATTTAAAAAATAAATCTCACCACACAACAGTAATAATTGATGTATGATGATAACGATGATGATGACGATGATGATTCATTATGGTTTTGTTAACCCATTTATTAATGTCGTTGAGAATTTTTTTTTTTTTTTTGATTCAATGGCCATTCAAAAAAAACCGGCTTCTATTTGGACTATAGAATGATGATTTTTTTTTTTTTTTTTTGGTTCATTATTTTTTTTCCTTTTTAGTTTACCAACAAAATTCATTCCTAAATATAATGTATATGATGATGATGATGATGTTGATTTTTAATGAGGAATGATTTTATTCCGGTTCAAGTGGTTTACAAATTAATTGCATCTGTCGAGTGTATACGTGTGTTTAGTGTGTGTGTGTGTGTGTGTGTTAATATTGTCTCCCAAAAGATCTGTATGTGTGTGTGTGTGTATCTGAACCGGAGGAATTTCAGAATTTCGTTTTCTTTGGCTTTTTTTTTTTTTGCTTACGACTGACGTCATCATCATATATCTATCTTCGTGTGTGTGTGTATGCTTCTTGACTTTGTAACAACCGGCATTCTTTTCAAGATTTTTTTTCACATTAATATTTTATCAACAACAATTTTTTTTTATATCCGATAACGTTTATTTTATTTCCATTTTGATGACAATGAAAACAAAAACAACAGCAGCAGCAACAACAACAACAACAACAAACCGGATAAATTTCAGGTAAATAACAAACCAAAAAAAAAAAAAATTTCATTGTCATCATCAGAGAGAGAGAGAGAGAGAGAGAGAGATGAAACAATATGATAACCGTGAAGATCACGGTCAAATATACTTTATAATTAATGCTTTGACGGTATATATGACTTGACAAATACTTTGTTCATGATGCTCGGTTGACGGAATTGAAGAAACAAAAAAAAAAAAAATTTTCCATTGTCATTCTGTCTATTCTGTTGTTGTTGTTGTTGTTGTTATTGTCTATTTGTCAACCGGTTTGTTCTATTAACACACCCACACACACACACATAATTGCAACATAAAAAATTTAATTTCAATTTCTTTTCAGAATTTGAAACTTCTTTTGTATTAAAATTTTGTTGTTGTTGTTGTTGTGTAGAATCTTGATTCAACATCATCATCATCATCTTCTCGTTTCATAAATGTTTGATATTCTTATTGTGCTTATTCATCAAAAAAAAAAAATTTTCATTTCATTTTATTATCGCACATTCCGGTTCCGGCAGTTTGTGTCTTACATATTTCATCGATCATATTGTATCGACAATATTTTTTTTTAAAAAAAAATGCGCACATGAGCATTGAAAATGAAAGCAAAAAATTTTTCAAACCAAAATCAAGTTTGTTTTTGTTTTCTTCTTTATTTTTGCTGGTTGTTTATGTTTTTTTTTTTTTTTTTTTTGGTCGGTCTAGGGGGATACATGAGATGCTGACGCTGGTTATTTGTTTGTTTGTTTGTTTGTTTGTTGATTCGAAATCCCAAAAGTAACACATCAGCTCTATTTGAATTTGTATGAGTTGTATCTGTTCATTTTTTTTTCGTTCATAAGAAAAAATTTTTTTTTCTATTCTTCTTAATGATAAATTTATTCTAATTTTTTTTCTGTGCTGCTTTTTCTTCGTTTTTTCTCGAATGGAAAAAATCTAGTTCTTGAAACATACAAAATGCTGAAAGAACTTTGCTCTTTTAAGAGAATTTTCTTTCTTTTCCCTATTCTGTATGTACCGTATTCTTGTTTCAATGATCAACATACAGAATTTCTTTTTTTTTCCAACCCATTTATCTTTCATCGTCATCATCATCATCATTATTTCACATTTATTTCCTCTTGAAATTTTGATATTATTTTTGGTACAAAGAAAATAAAAAAAAAAAATGGTCAATTGTTGTCAGATGTTGTCATTTTTTTTGTCACACACACACATACAGAATATTGCCACACATGCATTCTATTCGGGTTCGGTTCGATTCGATGATGATGATGATGATGATGATGATGAGCATAGAATTTATCCGCAGTCGCAGAATTTTTCTATTTTTTTTTCTCGGTTATTTATCCTAGTATTAAAATGAGAAAAATAAAAGTAAAATTTTTCGCCATTACTACCCATACACGAAATACATGCACGCATGAAATATATGGAGCGTTTTTTTTTTGTTTCCTTGAATTCATTTCATTCCATTCATTCATTACCTATTTGGTATTTTGTTTTTTTTTCGTTTTTCGTTTTTTTTTTTTTTGGTTTGATGACGATGTTGATGACGAATATAAACTAAACATAAAAAATACAAACAACCACGACGAAGACGACGACGACGCCGTAGTTGTTACCGTCGCATCATTACCAAATTGTTAAATCCTCATCATCAATGATGTCGATGTCGATGTCGTGTGTGTGTGTATGTTTATTTTTTCGGCCAAAGATGGTAGATTCCTTTTTTTCCTTTTTTTTTGGTTATTTTTACTGATCTAGGACCATTGATGATGCTATATTCGATGTGTCTGTGTCTGTGTGTGTGTGTATGTTGTGTATATGTCAGAGCATTCAACCAAAATTCAACTAGAATCAGCTATAATAAACACACTACACACCATATATATATATTAATACTACAGCAATTTCATTCAAAACGCGTTGACGTTGTTTGTATTCTCTATGTGTGTATGTATGTGTATGTGTATTTTGGATCATTGAATTCTATTCAGGATCAAATAGAAATAATAATAAAAATAAAAATAGATAAATAAATTGAAAACATATAATGTACATGTAGAAAAGAAATTATGCTGTCTGTGGTAGTCCTATCATCATCATCATTGATTGAAATCATTGCTATTGCATATAGTACAACCTAAACATAACGGGTTTTCATTTCATTTCGATTCATTCATTGAATGGATATGGACCAAACAGAATCAAAAAAAAAAAAACTCCTGTGAATGTTTTTGATGCCTGTTGTTGTTGTTTTTTCGTACAAACATATATATAAAAATAGTCATTCATTTTTACTGACGGAAATTCGATCGAAAAAAGAAATAGAGACTTGAAAAGAGAAAAATTTCATTCATAATTTTTTTTTCTCTGCTATTTATTTCTTCAGAATTTTTTTTGTTTTGTTTTGTTTCTTAGTTCTGTTCACGACTGGTTTCTTTTTTTTCCCATTCATTTTTCGTTGTGTGTGCGTTTTTTTTCTATCAATTTCACACACACACACACACACAACCGATGCTGAATAAAAAAAAATCAAAATTTTCAAAGAAATTCATCAAACTCATCAATGTTTTTTTTTCTTATTGATTGGCCTGGATCATTGACTTGATTTCTATTTCCATTTTCATTCATTTTTGTTTATATATATGTGTGTGAAATGTTTTGTTTTTGTTTTTGTTTTTTCTATAGTTACCAATTTCATTTTTGAATGAACAATGATGAACAAACATTTTTCATCATCACCATCGTCATCATCATCATTGTCGCCATCATCATCAACATAATTATCATCAACAACAATACACATCAAATTAATGTGAGTTTTTCTTTTGCTTTTGTTTCTATGCATACCCATTTCATTTCTATCACATGATTAATAATCCAGAATAATTGGACAGCAT